TAGGCCTTGTCACATGAGCACTTGAACGATCCTACAGTGTTGGTACATGAAGCTGAACTGTGGCAATTGTGAACACCGCTGGCACATTCATCAATATCTGTTGATATAGATTAGCAGGTTGATGCAAATGACACATACAATGTAGGACAGGAATAATAGGTACCGCGCTAGAAACGTTGTAAGCCACATACATGAGTCGATTTTATGCTTTTTTTTTCTGTTATGGATGGTAGTCGGTTAAAATGGTAACGGCCATCAAACGCACACATTTGCTTGCAAAAGCTGCATATTAATATGCTAGTTTGGTCTGAATGCTTTACAATTAATCACTTGCTAAAGTTTCTTGGTCGAGCCGTGATGATCGAAAGAACTTGGCCCTTGAAGGTCTATCGAATCCTAGGGTACACATAACTTTTGTTACTCAATAAATACAGACACGTGCAAATGGGAAATGATAAGGGTAAGGTCTGCTACTATTTATGATGGTTGCTTTAAGGTTTTCATTGAAAGGCAACAAAAAGTGTATAATATTGTCATTTGCTTTATATCTAAATTACCAGAACTATAAATTTTTAAATAAAATTTTTCACATTCATATCAACTGCAACAACAAGAACTCGAATATTTTTACCTTCTGTTTCCATATCGCAAGAAACCAGAGCAGTTTTCCCGTTCTAATGGAATAAATTCAGTACTCGCCACTTTTCGCTTTTCCATCTTCGCTGGCCTTTCCGCTGGAAATTCAGGAATGGAACCAAGAGGAACTGAGGACGAGAAATATTTTCATCAAAGATCATTTCTATTTGTGCATTCACCCTCTAAAAACGTCCTTTTTAGACGTTAAGGTGTATAGTATCGCTGAGTATTTTTACGAGTTGAGCCGTCAACTTGTCACATAAGGTTTCAAAACGATTAAAAGTTGAATTTTATTTTCGATCGTTGTTCTCAAATCGTACACATTTGAAATTACTGCAGGTACGAAAGTGTACATTTATCAATGAAAATTGATGAGTAATTTATCGCCAGTAACAAAGCTTTAACTCTACCGGGAGACAAGCTCTTAGCATATGAACATGATTTCCAAAACTACAATTCATTTTCATCATCCGACTCAATCACAAAGCGACGACGCTTTGCATTCATCGTTGCCGGTACTTGAGGAACTGAAGGATGTGAACTAACAACTATGGAACAGTTGTTAAATACGGTGCAAGAGAAGGCAAGTGTAGCCAACTTGTCAAACGGGTTTTTTTTACAGTAGAAAATAACCAACTTTCTAAATAACTGTACAATATCGCAGGATATTTGCACTCTATTCGCGCGTTATTTGTTTCCTATTTTGTGCAGCTGGATAATTAATTTCATCACTTTTCTCAAACAAAGAAAATATTTGGAGCTGGGGCCTGGAAATTCAAAATGCGGATAACGCTATCCACTTGCTTTTATGGAAAATAATTTGCTTTCAAAAGTAGAAAGTTGGAGTAATATCATGTCATTTGTCTATGCTTCCTCAAGGTTCACCAACCAAGACCCATAATAGTTTAGAAAGTTTAAATTTTACACTCAGTGTTAGTTCTCTGGTCTGGCCTCCTTAGTCCAGTTGTTTAGTTCACATAATTTCTCCGTAATTAAGTTATTGAGGCTGTGACATCGAAAATCATCGTTACACGCTTGATTACATTCGACTGCAATCGACGATTTCAACTTTTTGAAAGTATGTCGTCCAATCATCATACCAAAAATTGCATGCTCATCCTTTTTGCACCCTTGAGCGAAAATTTTTTACACGATACACAATGTCATTAAAATAAATAATCGCATAATCCCGACCACCGGCTTGTCCTTTCCTGTAAGATAAATTATGATTCAAATTAAAGACCAATATTATGCTATAATGCTAAGAATATAAGTGCTTTTTGGATCTTGGCTAAAAACTGTTGAATGAATGAGGGAAAAATTCACGAAACATCAAAACCAACAAAGATGAGGATGGAAAATGAACCTTGAGATTCAGCTTTGTTCGATTGAAAACCTACTAAGTTTTATTTATGCCCCCCTTTATTAAAGGGAGGAAACTCGCGGATTCTTTGAGACAGTCCTAAAAAATTTATGTTGATGAGAGGATTCAACGCTCAAACAGACAAAGAACAAATTCTGTATTTAATACTGTAGGGATTGAACCTTTGGCTGCTCTGTATTTGAATTAAGTCTTCAAAATATGTGATCTGGTACTTTACATATCTTGTACATACCTTCATTGCCGTCCAAGCTAGACGATAACACCTATTGGAAACTGGTTAGTGAAATTTGGAATTTGTTTAGGGGATCAAGTTACCCAAAAGTAATTGTTTATATCACATTTCACTAGTTTAGTATTATCTTGGAGTAGATGATAATTATAACCCTAGTGTCTTGATGTTTAGAAGCAAGTGGTGGATCAGGTGTCAAGTTTCTGTACACACAGACAAAGGCCGGTATTACAAAAGACAAGTAATTTAAGAGGATTTTTTCCCCCAGCAGATCTAGAACAGTTTGATGACTTAGATTTCTTCAGACAATATAACTTCAAGGTCTCTTGGTTGTACGGGAAAAAAATTGTGAGGGTTGTTTCTCCGCATACTTGATATCGCGCAGTAGGTCAATAATCATGAGGAGGTTATGATACTGACATTTATAATTCAGTATTCTTCACTCAAATAATGATTCTACCTACTAAACTGAAGGAAAGTACTTAGTTCTAGCATGTTTGAGGCGAAATGAGAAAGATGGTCCTAAGATTTTATGATAATTTTTACATTCCTTATTTTTTGCATCTACGCAACACAGTAAATGCCTACGCTTTAATACTTGATTTGTTTTCTATTTTATAATTTTCTGACCATTTTAAAAAATGTCTAAAAATTAAAATTAGTACAAAACCTTTTAACTAACGTTTCTCCTCTGCAACACAGCAGCAAGTACACGCCCTTTTCACGTAAAGGTACTTCAATTGATAAAGACGCAATTCCATGGGCAGATATGAAACGATGGAGTCAGGTATTGCAACTTAACGTTATAGCTTTGCCAGATACTTGTGATTATTTCTCAGAAAGATAAGTCTTATAATGTCAGATGTGAAAATCTAAGCTCCAAATTTTCACCCATTTCCTTCATGTATTTCCACAGTTTTCGTGGCTTTAATGAGCTTTTCTCGAATGAAAAATTTATGTCGCACCTTCCACAGGAAACCGATCTCTTTCTTTTTTTTAGACTCCTAAGCAGGTCGCCCCGGTAATTTTCCAAGAAAGTGTTATAAGTAATATGAACCCACCTGAAACAATGGAGGAAAATGAAAATAATTTGATTTACATGAGGAGTTCGTTCAGTTTATTACAGAATGCCATTCGGACCACGTTCAATACAATATTTACAGAGCGCTTTTTTTTCTGTTTTACTTTTTTTGGAAAGAGGTTTAGCACTAGTTCTTCCACCTTAACTTATTTAACGCTTCTTCGCTGCTACAACTGTTTCGTTAAACGTTCATTCCATTTAATCATTTGTTAAGTTTAAAAGCGTGCGCTGTTTGTGTTTAATGTTGCGCGCACTCCGTATAGATTCGTAAATCGCTATAATTATCGCAATGTTTGTCGCATAAAACGGTTAACTAAAGACGCTTAATCTAGTCGTTCATTTGTTTAGTTTAGTTTCAACCAAGTTAACGAGTTATTGTAATTGCTAAACAGCTATTTGCCACAATGTACGTCAACAATAATTTTTATTTTCGAAGGGCTGACGCTTGAATTGTCAACTTTTAAACTCTTAACGGTGGCCAATTTACATTATCGACTCAGTTGATAATACTAAATTACCCTTTTTTATTAACCTGCTCATCTCATATCCACTATTGATAAAACAACAAAGGAATAAATATCGGCTTCGTTTGCTGTATTTCGTTCAAATAAACTAGCGTTTCATTAATTTGGATTAGCTCCAGGATCACAAGTACATTAAGCAAAAAGAAAGAAAGAAAGAGGAAAAGAAAAAAAAATTGCTTACATTTGCGTGTATTTCTGCAGAGTATTATTAGATCTTACGTATTTTTTGAATGACTAAATCTCAAAGTCAACCGTCTAGTATTGAGAAATGAAAATTTAAGATATTGGACGACGATAATTGCAATGTTATTTCCCCTCCTGCCAAATTGTACAAAGTTCTTTACTTTGTGCCATTTTCCTCTAAAAGCCACTTTTTTTTTCAAGTTATTCTTACTGTAAAAGCCTTGTTTGATGATCGTGCTTCAACCAGGCTATAAAATAATTTGAATACCACGTACTACAATGAGCTAGAATTCTCAAAATGAGTTAAACAATCTACAAATCAACTACAAATTGGGCTCAAACACACTACCAAATATCTAATTTAGTGATATTCTTAGACCTTTATAATTATTATTATTAATTTTTACTTTTTGAGTGAATTATAAGCATAATATCTAAGAACGTCACTTTAAGACTTAATGATTATAATGCTCACAAACGAGTTATGAAAATTCTAATAAATGGGCTATTTAGATTATCGATAAACTGCAAAACCTCTACTAAGCGATGTCTTACCCTGTGTATTTTTTTGCCACTAAATATCTTAAAGTTTGTTTGCGTACCCAAACTTTTTTATAAGTTATTTGATAAATCTGTACTCATGACAAACGTCCTAACATAACGAAAATCGATGTCACTCTACCTCTTATTAGGTTGCTCGAATAGGACTTATGAAAATTCTAGAAATGAGCTACCTAAATAACTTAATAATCAGGGTGTTGAATATTATGGTCCTAGACGGTGACATTTTTAATACCTGGCCAGGGTAAGAGCATTCTTATCATCTCATGTTGAAAAAGGAACAGAGGAATTGGAATATATATAAAACTTCTGCAAGTACCACCACGACAGCTATTTCTTGTTAATGGAAAATCAGCTTTTGAAAAGCAACTGTAATACTCAAGAAATGTTTTGGAATCAGCCCTACAATTCTATAATTTGTACAAGGCCATTATCATTCGAGTTCCCACCAGTCAAACCGGAACAATCTTCGCCATTACAGTACGAGCCTCCTCCACCTCCGGCTTGATTCCAACTGGTACCACTACCTCCCCCAGAGTAACCACCACCTCCGCCTGATGCACCATTATCCTCTGATCCACCTCCTCCACCACCAAACCCACCAACTGCTCCTGGTGCAGGGCCCCCGTTATTACCACTATTCATATCTCCGGCTTGACCTCCAATCCAGCCTTCAGCACGTGATCCACCTCTTTCCCCATGGGAGGTGCCTAGTCGGGCACAACCTTGACCAAACCAACCGGCACCCACTCCTCCATGGTAGTTACTGCCGTTACTGTTGCATTCACCTGGCTGTCCACCTGTGCCTCCATTTCGAACTTGTGAGGATTCTTTCCCCACACTACTGGTGCCATTTGAACCAGCCTGACCATCCACACCATTATATCCACCAGACGCACCCCCTCCTCCTCCGGCAGCCAGCAACAAAACATTATCTGCAGTATAAACAAAACTTCCTCCCCCTCCTCCAGTGCCAGCATTGTCTTCCACGGACACTCCTAGTTGAGCTGCTGTCTTTTTAGTGCTATTTCCACCTTTTACTTCCACCGAATCCCCTCCTCTTTGTCCCACCACAATATTTAACACTGTTCCATTGTTCAGTCTGAACTTGCCTTCTATAAACGCTCCCTTTCCACCATAATATGTTCCTGGAAGGTATCCATAGTCGTATGAATGTGTTCCTCCCCGAGCTCCCCAGGCTTTGATGAGATAGCGAGTGGTCCGTGGAACAGTGAAGGTCTGTATGGTGCCGAAGCGTCCCCTTCTCCCATCGGTTTTGAGATTCAAAGTACCTTTAAAAAGAAAAAAGTATTTACGCCTGAAATGTGCTATTTAGTAACGGGCTTCTGGTTATGAACATGATATCTGTGAGATTTTAGAGGAAAATGTGCACAAAAAGTGTGAATTGAAATTGAAGCGTTGAAAATAACAAGTTAGTCTGGCTGTGTTAAAAATCCAAATATCCTTACGGTAACAGGTTGTTGCATTGCCAAGAAATCCAGGTCTGCAGGAACAGCGATAAGAGCCCACAGTGTTCTCACAATCGGCATTGATTGGACAAAATGATGGTGAAGCGCTGCATTCGTCAAGATCTGTTAAGAAAGGAAAGCCAAGTTACTTCTTCTTCTTCCTTCTATGCAAATTCTGTGGCCCTTATCTTTTTCCCCAGTATTTTATCACCTTCAATTGGACAATCAGCCGAGAGAGCTACACACTTAATAAACGCTTTTGAGAATAGGGTCAACACTTGGAAAATAAAGTGTAAAATGTCTAGGGTTGATTATGGAAGCCCCGACTCATCGCTGATGTGCAAAGTAAACTCTTTGCAGCAAGATAGAATTAAAGAATATCGAATCGAAAGAAAGCAGTACGAAGATTTCATCACATTTGTACCGAACTTTTGCATTTAAATGAAGAATAAATTGTTCACGCGAAGCAATTTCAGATCTTATAAAGTAATAGTTGAAGAAAGCTCAGCGAAACAACACCTTGCAACGACATTGCTTAATGATTAATGTACGTTTTTGATCAAATTTCTTCCCACCTTTGCAGCTACGTCCATTTCCAGAAAACCCAGCTCTGCAAGAGCAGCGATACGATCCCAGAGTGTTTTTGCAGTCAGCGTTCACATCGCAAACGCTAACTGAGGCATTACATTCGTCAGAATCTGTTAATGAAAATCCAAATCGTTTAGAGCGACAATATACATTGATAATGAAGGACAATTTTAAGCGAATTATTGTTCAGATCCACTTTTATCAAGTTAGTCACAGTTGATTAAAAAAACCCAAGGGTGTGATTTTCAAACAGCTTTATCGAGCAGGCTCTGCAAGAGTTTCTATGTAGATCATTCCAATAACATATTGAATCGTTGCTTGGTGTTGGAAATTAAAGCGAACAGTGCATTCACCTTACTTAGTAGGATGCGAACGAGTCAAGATTTATTAAATCCTACGTTGAATAACTTAGATTCCATGAATATGCAATTCTTGCTGTCATCTAGTGCCGTACATGATTGAGATATAAAAAAAAACAACTAAGATAAAAGATAAGATTAATAAAAAAAGATCCGCCATGTTTGGAAATGCGCAGGCGTTTATTTGTGGGTGATGCGACTTTATTTTCAGTTGATTTTAGTTTTCTGCTGTTAGATTAAGAGTCAGCCATCTGCTCTGGAAGGGCTGACAGAAAAGCTCCTTACAGCTTCATAACTAGTTTCCAAGGAAAAAATCTTATACGATCAAGAAAAATTCTAAATTTTCTTTGAAATAGTAACAATCTTTTCCAAGTGTTCCCTCCAACAAATGATCAGACTTACGACCAACAACAAAAAAGGGTTGCACCTGAGAGAAAAGCTGACCATTAGCTTTTATGCGAGGGACATACTTTTTAGTGCATGTCCATTCTGTTTTACTGTCCTACTCTACCTTCGGTTTTCATGTCACAATGAGCCAACACAGGAGTGTCAGGTTTGATGAAATTCAGCCAGTATTTTCCGCTGACCGCTTGTCCACCTTCACTCGCCTTGATCTCCTTGCACGAGTCGGCAGACAGCTCTGGAATGGCACCGAGAATAGCTAGAAAAATTAGAAAATGAGAAAGTGAAGAAAAAACGCGATATCTCCCTCTCTAAAACAGTTGGCCAAATCATTTTGCCTTAATGCTCACCTCTCTTCATATCTCGTCTGAAGTAATATCTCTCAGTGTTGGGTACAAAATCTTCAGGCCTGGCTTCCTTTGTGCGGTTACTCAGCTCACACTTGTCTTGTGTGAACACATAGTTAAAGCTTTGGCATCTGACGTCACGATAACTCTCCCGCAAACACACATCACTGAATGCAGCTCCAGTGATTGTTTTAAGAATGTGTTTTTGAAGCATCTTACCAAAAATGGAGACTTCACGTGTATCACAGTGGTACTGAGCAACAACTGAGCGAGACAATACCAACATGAAGAGGAAAACTGGTAAATGAAAGAACTCTTGGACTCCCATTGTAGTTATATAATTTCACCTGAAATGAAATCATAAAGTTTGACAGCATAGTGATACAAATTTGAGTGTACCCACGGAAAAACGGGGAATACGATAACTGCAGAGGCACTTATTGTTTGGCTGTTTTCCAAGCGGTACGAAATATCGCAGACACGCATGTCGAGCGATGTGTCATGCATATGACAAATTTAAAACTTGGTGTAAGAAAGCAAGCGTGAGATATGGCGCTAGTCGATAAGACACGGAAACTAAAACAGTCCAACTGCGCGTTCGTTTATGGTTTAATCAAAGGTTTTACTAATTTTATCCAATAAGAAGTCAAAGCTTTTTGAATGCAATTCCTCAGAGGCAGAAACAGTTTTTACCAGGTACAGCGAACGGTCGTAGTCCCTGTGTTATGAAGTAACAGAATCCTTTAACAGTTGGCACACAGTTCGCTGCCCCTGACAACGCGTATTAAAAATTTCACAAAATGATATCTTTGGTTTAGCTCTGTCCTATCATGATGATAACAGAAGCTACTTCTCCTATGCTATGAAGTTGCCTGAGTGTCTTCCTTCACTTTTCAAAATCGACAAAGAGACATTTGGAAACAAATTGACTTCCAATGGAATTTGACTTGTATTGAAAGAGGAAGTTCACAGACCACAACATGCTTAAATTAAAAAAAACTATGAAACACGATGCTCTTTTTAAAACTTCTTTTAATACCACCTGCAGACTTTCTTTAAAAACATTTTGGCTGAGATTCACGCAGAATTTCTGTTTTCTTTGAAACTCGATGCAAGCAAATGGCAACGAAACTCTTAGTTTTATCTAAAAAAAAAAACTTTTTTTGAATTCTTTGGCTTTCCAAAATTCGTTTCCTATTATCGTTTGTTTGACGCTGTTACAATATTGTTCTTGTTACGAATAGGTCAGAACTGTAAATATGTGGCCGTCCACAGAAAAACACTGGAATATGGTAATTGCAGAGGCACTTATTGTTTGGCTATTTTTCAAGTAGTATGGCATATCGCAGACACGCATGACGAGCGATATGAAATACATGCCACAAATTCAAAGCTTAACGTAAAAAAGCAAGAGTGAGATATGGCACAATTCGAAAAGACACGGATGCTAAAACAATCCCATTGCACGTACGTCTAAAGCTTTATCAAAAGTTTCACTTATTTTTTCCCAATAAGAAGTTGTCAAAGCTTTTTAAATGCAATTCCTCAAAGGCAGAAACAGTTTTTTACTAAGTACAGCGAACGGCCGTCGTCTCGATGCATGCAAAAAAAGACATTTAAATATAAAGTAACAGACTCCTTTAAGACCCATTCCCTAACGTATTAGCGGCTCATTCTGCTGATTCAAACATTCACGCTATTCTTTCAAAATGATATCTTTGGTTTAGCTATATCCTATCATGATGATAACAGAACCATAGTACTTCTCCTATGCTATGAACTTGCCTGAGTGAGTATCGCAGTCTTCCTTCACTTTTCAAAATCGATAAAGAGACCTATGGAAGCAAATTGACTTTAAATTGAACTTGACTTGTATTGAGAGAGGAACTATGAAACACGATGCTCTTTTTGAAACTTAATTGAAAGCCACCTGCAGACCTCCTTTGAAAACATTTTGGCTGAGATCCACGCAGAATTTCCGTTTTCTTGGAAATTCAGAATACGACATCGTTGTTATAATGTCAGGAAATGGTAACGAAACTCTTCGTTTTATCTAATAAAAACATTTTTTCAGAATTCTTTGGCTTTTCAAAACTCATTTCTTATTATCGTTCGTTTGACGCAGCTATAATATTGTTCTTGTTAGGAATAGGGCAGAACTGTGAACGTGTTTTTCGCTAGATGATGACATTAAGGCTGAATGCATTTTGGTCCTTACGTCATGAACGAAAGCTAAATAATTTCCCGTCCAACCCGACCTAAAAAGTATTTTATAGTATGATTGCTGCTCTTTCTCTTGATTCATCATACTTGTTTATGCGCTATTGACCTCCTATGTTCATTTTTATATCAAAATGTGAGACTTCAAATAAGATTCTGTCTCAAAATTTGGATCTGTTTTTTTCACTTTGACAAGATGCACTTCTTTGCAATCACTTTTGTTGAGAGTTCTGTCTTTATCGTAAAGATTTTTTTTCTTGTTCTTCAGTGCAGTCTCTGCTGAGACCTAAAAACCATGGCTGATCTCAGAAAGGAGCGAATTTAAGAGATAAGTGAAGTTTTCATCATTATAGTCCAACATTATCAAACCAGCGGGTGCCGGTGAAGCTTATTAGCATCCTAATTAGAGTTGAAATTTTGAGAGCATAGTGACACAAATATGTGACCGTCTACAGAAAAATAGGGAAGACGATAACTGCAAAGCCACTTAATGTTTGGCTTTGTTCCAAGTAGTATGACATATCGCACATACATGATCAGCGATATCCCACGCATACGACAAAGTTAAAGCTTTTTGTGAGAAGGCACGCATGAGATATGGCACGGGTCGATCAGACACGAAAATAGGAGTGTAAAAGCTTCTTAAATGCAATTCCTTAACGGCAGAAACAGTTTTTACTAAGTACAAAGAACGGTCGTCGTCCCAATACATGCAAACTGGAAATAGACATCTAAATGATAAAGTAACTGAATTCTTTATGACCCATTCCCTAATGTATTAGCAGATCTTTCTTCTGATCCAAACATTCACGCTATACTTTTAAAATGGCGCACAGTTCGCCGCCCCTGACAACGCTTATTGAAATTTACCAGAATGATATTGTTAGTTTAGCTCTATGCTATCATGATGACAACAGAACCATAAGATACTTATCCTATGCTGTGAACTTGCCTGAGTGAGTATAGCAGTCTTCCTTTCCTTTTCAAGATCGAAAAACTGGTCGTTGGGAGAGAAATAATTTGAAACTTAGCCTGCGTTGAAATTGGAACTTTATAAAGGCCAGAACGTGCGTAAGTGGTGTCACTATGAAACAGGATGCTTTATCTTTAAAGTTTTAATGCCACCAGCTGACTTTCTGGGACCTATTTTGGCCGAAAGTCAAAACATGATATCGTTGTTATAATGTAAATAAACGGCAGCGAAACTCTTAGTTATATATTCTGAGAAAATATCTCGGAAAACTCGGACTTTCAAAACTCATCTTTCATTATGATACATGTTTTGGTTTTCTTTTTTATTCTTACTCTTCAGTGATGGGACCTAAAAATCATGGCTCGTGACAAAACGGAGCGTGTTCAAGAGTAAAGTCAAGCGTGAGCCAGTGTATAGTCCAACATTATTAAACTAGCAGGTGCAAAACTTCTCTCGTATGAATAATTTAACAAAAGGAGGTTCTGACATCAGCGAATCATGTTTTGAAAGAAATATCGGGCACGAGAGCTTCACTTTTTCATGACAGAGCCGTGAGTTAAATGAGGCTTAAAGTATTTAGTTCAGTAATACATTGCTAAACTGGCATCTTGAAGTATATCCCTTGAGATAATTTGACTTGGCTTCCTGAAGAAAGCCTTTGTGGTCAGCTGCATAACAAAGGACAAACTAATTAAAAACCATCCAAGATGAGGCCATAGTTTCGACTTCTCGCAGTCTGCTTGTGATACATATTAAATAAAATTAATCTTTTAGAAAGGACCTTAGTACTCACTCAAGAGCGTTCCTCATAACTTGCAACTTCCGGTAATTATCACTTTTTCTGTTGTGTGAGTCGAGTTTGAGTCAGCTGAATCAAACGCAAACTGCTGCCTAACTTTCAGTGGTGATAGGCAAGTCCAAAATATCTGTATGACTGCAATAAAACTGCAAGGCTTGTGAGAACTCTCCTCTCAGAAAGATATCCAAGCCTAGTCACCTGGTTATGTTTTGAGGCACGACCAGCCGTTTACTTCTGGCATATGATGTGGGAAGTTGACTTTCATGCAAATTAATGATGGGGTAAGTTTCTATAGAAACTGTTGTGCTTCGTCGGTAGGAGATGTAACATGGTAATTTAATATAATCAACTGAGTTGATAACGTAAATTGGCGACCGTCAAGAGTTTAAAGGCTTTAAAGGCTGATGTTCCGAGCGTTAGCCCTTCGTCAAGAGCTTCGTTAGCAATTCGTCAGAGCGATTCCTATCACGTCAGCCTTAAGGTCAACGATCAAAGAACACAGCTGTAGGCATATCCAGTGTACCTTATGAAGAAGGATTGCAGCATACACGATCGATTCAAATCGTATACAACTGTGTTCATCACGATTAATAACTGCCACCTATTTACAACAAATTTGTTACGTTTAAACACGCGCATAATAGTTCACAATAATTTTCCAACTTGCTGTTTCCTACTTTATTTGCATGTAGGTTGTTAAAAATAGTAGCTAAAAGCTGATGTGGACCTACCAACTAATATCTATTAATTAAGTAAAAGATAACATTTATAAACTAAATAAGCTATTTAAAATATAGTATACAAAGTAAGGAAAAAACAGAAGTTTCCATGAATATAGTTTGCAGTGTCTTTGTTTGTTCCCTGACAATGTTATTGACCGCCTGTTTTAGACTACCCCAGGATTTTTCAAGATGTGTTGGGAAATATTCTAGATTAAAGGGAAGCAAACATATTGTAACAAATATCGAGGAAGTTCAAATATCTTGCCAGGAAGAAAATCTAAAAACTGCGCCATCGATGTTTATTTCTTGTTGTTGTTTAAATGTAAACGTAGCGAGTTTTCTTCATTACAGACAGGTAGCTCGTTGTTTTTGTGCTTTTTTCTGAGACATACCATTCAAAATTTGGAAGAAATTTTGGAGTTGAAATTAGACACACTGCTAGCTTTCTCTCCGTGTATCCATACTATGATAAAGTACACTGTTTCAACCAGACAGAGCACATGTTTTATCCAAACTTTGAGGAATGGAGGACTTTTTTCCGTATTAACATAGCCTTATCTAAATACAAAGCCGGCTAAAAAAAACTCATGACAAATCTCCCATCCCTCCCCCCGATCAAGTTATGGCTGAAAAGTCTAGGATATAGAATTTTCTAACATTGTTTACGTACTCCCACCCAAACAAACTAATCAACCTGATTGATGGAGAAAAAATTGTGTGAAAAAAAAAGGTTTTCAACGACCGCTAAGGGCCAAGCTAGTTCGATGGTTCATTACGTCATTCCAGAATCACTTGAATATACTAAATTTTAATTATCTCTATATCCTTTAGGGGCTAATTGTCGGAGGAGAGGGGGTTGCAGGATTTTGGGGGATCCCATGGATTACAAGAGGAACAGAGAGGGTCAGTCGTCTCCAACAAAGTGTATCGAGGGGACTATAAAAAAATGGACTGCCAATAAAAAGCGGGGGGGTTAGTCATAACAATATCTCAGACCTTGGTGGGGAGATCAGTTCATCGTGACACAACCAAAATAATCAAAATAAGAGAAAGAAATTAGCCGTTAGTCGTAAAGTGATGAAAATTCTAACCGTAAAATAGCCGTAAAAGCCATCACCCTGCTGAGACTAGCCCGATTGGGCTCGTGAAATGCTGCCTTATAATAGTGAAAGTTACAGTTTTCGCTACCTTAATAAACTCATTTTGAATCAAACTTTTGAATCAAACTTTTGAATCAAACTTTTGAATCAAACTTTTGAATCAAACTTTTCGCAGAAAATTGATCTCTTTTTAATTAACCTCCTAATCAGGGCGCACCTAATTTCCCAAGGAGGTCTCAAAGTAACCTTGTGCCCAAAAATTGCTTCCATAAGTCGTGGCACATCATTTTCTATCAGTAGCGTCATAAACTCATCGGGACGATGGAAGAGAATGAAAAGAGTTTGATTTAAACGGGAGGTTCGTCGAATTGGCCCTCACTATAACTTACGTAAAGTTTCGTTATCGAACACCACACTGACCACGTTCAACACAGTATGTCCAGAGCGGTTTTTTTGTTTATGTTCTGTTATCGTTTTATTTTTTTTTTCTTATGTGTGTGTGTGCTGCGAAAAAGACTCCTTTTTCAATTTATTTCATGCTTCTTCGCGGTTACAACTGTAAAAAAGGTTTGCGATGACACAAATAATGTCTGCTTTTGGCTGAGTTTATCGGAAAACAGTTAATAAAATTTAGTTTCAGAAAGTTGAATCGACAGATTCTCAGATCTAGTATCTAAGCTGGACAATATACATATATAGAAATAAACAACGCGTACACAACTCTACGATGTCCAATTCTAAATTTTATAACCATCTTCTTTCCTGCTCTATGTATGCAGCAGATAAGGAATTTTTTAAACGTTGGGATATATTAAAATTATAGAAAGTTATTGCTCATCTTGGGTAACTTTCTGAATGCTTGAATGAACACATACTGAAACAATTCATTTACAAACAACCACACTTAAGGGACTTACCATTCTTTATCACTTGTGTTGGGAGGGGCGGGGGTGAGGGGCTTTGCTGGAGTCAAAATAAAAAAAAATTAAATTTACCTGATACCCCTCCGTGCAGTTCTCTTCATTTTTTATGATCCCCGCCCCTCCGCTCTCATTTCCAGTTCATTGATATTCAATTCTCTATGGTCTTCTTCCGTCATGCTCTATTGGCAACGACTGATTCCCTTCCGTCCCCCTGAGAAACCTTGTGATCCTCCATAATTCTCCACCTACCAGGCTATAAATAATGACAAGTCCCCGGCTTAGGTAATGTTACTTCTTCTTCTTCATTTTTAAAATCTACTATTATTATTACTATTATTTGTGACCAATCACAACAAGCTTACTATCTGATAAAGCTAAGGTAAGATGCAGATAAATCGCGGTTAAAACCTTTGAAAAGACGACTCAAGCAATTGATAACTTTCTGAACCAGCATCGATTTAGTCTGTGCTGCAGTAGCGGAGGTAACATTTGGGTGTGCTTGCTATGTAGTAAACGTAGTAACCGCCGCAGTTTGTCACTTTGACGGAACTTGACCAGTTGCAGCAGTT